GTGTCCATCTCTGCTGCCGCCCGGCCTCCTGTGTGGCCCTGCTCTGCCGCCCAGCGTGCCCCGGGGTGACCGACTGCNCTGTCCATCCCTGCTGCCGCCCGGCCTCCTGTGTGGCCCTGCTCTGCCGCCCAGCGCGCCCCGGGGTGACCGACTGCCAGGCAGTCTGTGGAGCTGGCAGCAGCTCCCCCTCATGCTGNGAGGCAGTCTGTGGAGCTGGCAGCAGCTCCCCCTCGTGCTGTGGAGGCAGCTCCTGCCAGTCCACCTGCTGCCAGGCTAGTCCCTGCCAGACCACCTGCTATGTGCCTGTCTGCTGCAAACCCACTGTGTGTGTGCCCGTGTGCTGCAAGCCTGTGGCCTGTGATGTCCCCTCCTGCCAGGCTTCCTGTACCTCCCTGCTCTGCAGACCCACATGTCCTCCACCCTGCTGCTGAATAGGAGGGAGTCCTCCAAGCCAGCCCTTCCCATCTGCCCTGTGATGGGACTCAGGCTCTGTGCTGTGCCAATTTCATCTCTGCCAGTCTAGGCTGAGCTCATATGCGCCAGCCCCAACTTTCCATCAGAGTCTTCTCAGCACTGAGCCTCCTGATCTCCCTCCCAGCAGGGTCTCCCTCAAGGCACTTTCCAGCTGCCAGAATCTGCTTGCTCACTGAGCACCCATGCATTTTCTGCTGTTCTATCAGGAGCTTAATAAATGCCCTAACGGGGCGCCTCCCAGACCTTTCTGACTCTTGGCCTGAAGACAGTCATCCTAGAGGTGTTTTCTGAACTCCTCAGAGGAGAGCCTCGTAGAAATGAGGGGCTTTGGAACATTCAGGGTTACCGTGAGTGATGGTGCATCTCCATCTGAGCAGAATTTTTCAGTTCAGATACAATGGTTCATTTCTATGCAGAGGGCCAGAGACAAGTGAGGCTCTGACTCATCTTACCCTGTGACTTGGGGTCACAGTATGAATTTAAAGCCCAGTGAGGGACTCAGCACAAAGATTTGGACTAGGGTAGAGCCATTCTGGGAAGAAGAGCTGCCCTCGCAGGTTGGAGGGTGAGCTGAGATGTCCCCTGTGGCAGCTCTAGACAGCTCAGCAAGGCAGCGTCTGGCACCAATATGGCATCCCCTAGGGCCTTGAAACCATGTGCCCTGGGTGCCAAGGAGGAATCATGAACCCTTTCAAATCAATGTGGTGGTACCCTGGCTCCATCGCGATCTATGAGTTTATTCTTCTCCCACAAAATAGCCATATTTAAACCTCAGATGGGGTTGAGGTCCCACAATGCTCTAACAGACCTGTGATCTCAGTCTCCCATGAAGAAGACCACAACTCATCCATGCCAGGCTATCCCATGAATCTCTCGTGGATGTCCTGCCAGAGCCAGGGCACTGGCGGCCTCCTCCTGACACTGGGAGGGTCCAGCCCCACTGTCATCCCTCCCTCTTGGCACCATGGCACCAATCCACCTCTTCTTTGTGTCATACCAAGCTATTTGTGGGAAAGCCTAGCAAATGCTGATGGAAGATACATACGTGGATCACAGTAGGTGGGTGGGGAGATGAGGGTGGGTCTGAGCCAGGACTCACAGGCAGAGCCTGGAAGCAGCAGGGTGAGAGGGGCTTCAAATCAGCCAGCTCTTCCAGCTCCTATGGGGGAGCAGCTGCTGCTTCCTCTGCTCTTCTCTCCTTTCCCAAACACACACACACACCCCACACATACACACAGGCACGCACAAAGACACACTCAGACACACACACACACACATAGAGAGACACAAAGACACACATACATACAGAGACACACATNAACACACACACAGAGAGAGACACACAGACACACATACATACAGAGACACACATACACCTTGGAATTGCACATGACAGGGGCTGACACTTGAGAATTTTGTCCTAGTGTCCGGAGGTGAGGTCGAGCCTTTACTAAGCACAAGCTGCTGGCTACCTTGTTGACCTTTGGGGGAGAATTCTGATCTGGTCTGATGATAACACTAGCACACCTAGTCAGTGGGTGGGAGGAAATGAAGCTCCCTTCTGAGGATGAGGAGGGCTGTACACGCCTGAGTTTGCCCAACTCATAGAATAACTCAAGGGCATCTCCAGGCTGTGAGGAACTGCTCCTTGAAGAAAGACAATGTTCTGTCCTGTCATTGGACCAACCCAGGGCTCGTCCTCATGTTTCAGGTCTCAGTCACATCAGTGATATCAGGAGCAGCCGCTGGAGTGATGGAAGACTGAACCTCCAACCCAAAGCAGAGGCCAGGATGGTTGGGGCAGCTGGGGCTCACGAAGAGGATTCAGAGAAGGCAGGGGAGGGTGTCTTTCCTGGTGATAGTTCTCCAGCATAAAGGAATGAACCTAGATGGAGTGTAGCCACACATAGGACAACGAGCTATCCTCAGTCCTTTGGGCTCTTATCATTGAACCCAAGCTGCTCACTCTCTGCCTTAACTCACTGTCTCCTGATCTCTGGGCTGGGTTTAGGACAACTCACTGCTCTCACAGGGGATCACAAGGGCACTCTGCTAAGATGGCAGTTCCATCGGAGCCTGGCTCCATTCAGGGCCCACATGGAATCCTTGGCTCACTGGGCATGAGGGCAGCTACACTGGAAACAGGAGGAATGTGAATGTGAGGAAGTGAAGGGGAATAAAGCTGAACCAGTCTCTCTTCAGTTTCCTTCTGAGAAGCCGGACAAGCATAGCAGCACTATGGCAGATGACTTCCCATCTGGGCTACACAGCCAGGGAGAGATGGGGAGCACCAGAAGGGAATGATGCTCAGCCAGAAATCTGGGTTCTAGCCCCTTGGCACTGGGCACATGTATTTGCCCTTCGAGTGCCTTGTGCTGGCTGGTCCCAGAGAGAGAAATGAACTGTATCATCTTGGAGCATGGAGAGGCACTCGGGTCTAGCTGTGGGCTGTGTGCTTCAGTCTACCAGAGCCCAGCATTTTACTGCTGGTACCTTGGTGGCCGGTTTCATCAATCTGCTGTCTTCAGTGTATAGGTTACAAAGCCACTGCTTCAGGACACAGTCATCTCATGGTCTCTGATCTCCCACTGCCAGTTCTTAAAGATAGGAATAGAGTCATTGAGCTCAACTTATGCCAAGGAGATGTTAAGGTCAAAGAGTAGGAAGAGTAAGAAGAGAATTAGCAGAGGGAAGTAGATACAACAAATGTCACCTCTGCATTTCCTTTACCTTAATTCTGCCAAGGGCGTTCTCGG